CTCATTCGTCTCCAGGCCTCCCTCTGGTCTTCCAGAACCCCAGCTTTCGGAACGTTGCTGCCGAGGCTGCTGTGGCCTCAGCGTGTCCAAGAAGGGACTTCATTTCTGCCTCTGGATTTCGTTAGGACGGCCAGCTGCCTGTGGGTCCTGCTCCGGTGACTGAGGGAAGCCAGGAGCCTGCCCTTTGGACCACGACTCTCTATCTCAAGCGCCCTAGAGTCGGCTGTCCTGACCCTGCTCGGCCCCAGCAGGCCTGGGAGTAACTGGCCTTCCTGCAGGTAGGTATGAGCTTGAGTGAAAGCTGACGTTGAAGGGCCCTGCCCTGACCGCCTTCCTTCTGCCAAGGTGGTTACACCAGCTGGCTGCCCAAGAAGTCGACACAGTTCTGACACTGTCGACCCGGAGACAGCGTCAGATCCCCCAGGTTACAGGCTTAGCCCCACAAGACTGCCCCCCACGTCAAGATGCCATTCATTAAGTCCAGGTTGTCACCTGTATTTGGGGGAGCCAGTGGGCTCAGTGGCTGGCATGGGCTGAGGCTTCCCACTGCTCGTGGGGGGCCCTGCCTCCCCGAGCTGCCCCTGCACAGTTTACAAGGGCCCGGAGCTTAACCTGCCGCTTTGCCTCTCCTCTGAGGCCGCTGCCGAGCGGTGGGCACTGCTAGGGGGACAATGGGCCGTGCTTGCTCAGGCCGTGTTCTCCATACACAGACTGGCGGGCGGGGTGGAGAGGGGGAGGGAGTGATGACGTGGGCTGCCAGCCACCTGGGTTGATAAGGGCTCCTGTTCCTCCTCCTGACCCTGCAGGACGACAGCCATGGGGCTGCTCTGGACATTCCTGCTGCTGGTGGCCTCTTGTGTGTCCGCTGTCCGGGGCTCGCCAAGGGATGACGACAAGGAGGATGTCAGCATCCACATGTCCCCCCCCTTGCACATCGTGGAAGAAGGCAACCTGATGGTGCTGACGCCCGCTGGCCTGACCCAGATGCTGAACCAGACCCGCTTTCTCATGGTGCTTTTCCGTGAGTGCCCCCGAGTCCTCCAGGTGGAGGGGTGGGGTGGGGGGGAGCGGAGGGGCAGGACCTTCCTCCTGGCTCCTGGGGACCAGAGGAGTTTTGTATACTACCGAACACACGAGAACACAAATTATTAATATTTTTTTAAAAGAATGTGTATTTAACATCATCACCAATTTCCAGATGAGAAGACTGAGGTCCAGGGAGGTTAAATAATGTGCAAGATACGACAGTGCCACTTTACTCTTGGTTTGTATGTGGCTCCTCTGCACGACTGAAGATTCACGAGAGGCCAGGCTTTATCCCTGGGTGTCGGTACCACTCTGTACCTTAGTCTTCTCCTCTGCAAAATGGGCGTGAACATAATGACACACTGAATTGTTGTGAAGACTAAATGGGATATGTTAGGCTGCTGGTTATGGCAGTTATGGGCACACTCTCGAGAAACGCTTTTTAGACTGTCATTCTTATCGTGTGCATTGTATAACTACTTTTATTCTTTGGGCTGTTATCCTTTGCATCAGCAGACATTCTGGGGACAGAACGGGCTGCTTTATCCGAAGGCACTAGCACAGAGCTGTGCTGGGCTCCATCACTTACAAGGAGGTGACATTGGGCAAGTCACCTGATTGCTCTGAGCCTCTATGTACTTGGCTGTGAAATGCGGAATTGAATAGCGTCATATAATTCCTGGGGTGCTTAGCACAAGTGCCTGGTACATAATATGAGCTTAAGAATATAGTGGATG